GTATACATCGAAAGATGCAAAACATACAATTTGTATAATTACCTAAAATGAAAGTAAACATTACAAAACCCATGGATTACGCTCAGTAATCAATAAAACTTGTTAAAATGTTTAGCATAAATTTTCTCAAAATAACATGTAGAAATGAATGAATTAAAATAAAATAAAGCTTGATACTGATAGGTATCTTCAATTCCAGTTCCGTTATGCTTGACTCATGTAATATGTAATCTAAGATTTTCTAGGAGAAGGGATTACTTAGCGCCGGTGCACACTTGCGGTATACATCGTTTACTTTTTGTAGTGATGTGACCTTCAGTTTGATTGGCGCAAAGTAGAAAAGAACAGCACTGGGCCAGAAAAGGAAGGAGGCAACTCTCGGTCAAACACTTAACAGGTGAGGAGCGTTTAATCCCCACAGTACTGCGCGGAAAACTTGAACATTTTATTCACCACAATTGCATTACTCAAATGTGCTGTAATTGGTACCATTTACTACTGAAAACATCAACGAGATGTTTATTTATATTTAAAGACATATTTAAGGCTTTAACGCTTGTTTTCGACCCGCACTAGTATTCATGATTGAACAAAACTTTTGGCAGGTACTTAATGAACAAGAGTCGAGAGTATAATAAGCTTTTTTTTCCCTACCTACGGCTTTGCCAGCGCGCATCCAAGACATTGAAAGGGGCATGTCGCTAGAGAAAGTAAAAAAAGTATAATTACCGCTGCCGAGGCGCCGCCGCAATTTCGGCTTAAAGTACTGACAGGCAAATGGGTTAATGCACATTCATCTGAGTGCCGCCGCGGGGTCGCACGTTCAAATCGCGGCCGTTTTGAGCCGCAGATTCCTACGGAACTGGTGCAAACTTGCGGAAAATTGACGCAAAAAAAAAAATGTTTGCTACTAGAACTGTAACATTAAAATGTAAAAAAGACGACAAAATCTGAACAGGAGGATGATTCAGGACGAACATACATATATGCAATGCGGCTTTCCGGAGAATGAAATGGAGCCTGAAGAAAGGCCTTCAGAAGAAATATTCGTTGATTCAGATTCAGACCGTCGGTCAAAACGAAGAAAAACTTAGTAAAGAGACTTAATAAATTTCATCAAAACTCCTTCGCAAATCTCCCAACCACAGCAGGTGAATATCAATCCCGATCGGGCATTTTTGAGAGCTTGTGTTTCACTTTTCACCGAAGAGCAGAAGTTGGAATTTTGTTGCGAGGTGCAACCAGAAATGCAAGCGCGGCCATCATTACCTGCAACTCAACCCTCTCCAGCACTTTCTTCCACTTTGGAGTTTCAAACTGAGCCTGATGAAGACTATGACATTTGTATAAATTGATTTTTTGTGATAGTTTTATTTTTACGTTTACATTTATATATGCAAGCCATAATCGGTATATGGGTGTACCCAAAATTGTCTCATATATATGTTAGCGGAGGGTGGAATTTATGTTGGCGAAGGGTGGAATTTCCCTGTTCGCATAGACGCAAGATACATTTGTGCAACAGGCACTTATCCTGCACCCTGCAGGAGCAATGTGGGATAGTCGGTCGTAGAAGTAGGGATGTAAAAACTTGTATCTACTAAGTGTAAACGGAATAGAAATAATTGTTGAAATTAAGTGTTGTTATTAGTTAATAGTTAGTGGTCTTAAAATCAACAACAATAGTATCATTACATATATAGTAATAATAATAATACAGTATATATGCGCTAGGCCCTAACTATATTCAGATATAGTTTATTTGTTGAAACTACTATAAGTATAAATAGTTGTGTAGATTAGCATCATTAGAGCCCACACCTGACGTAGTCTTTAAACGCTTTACTAATTTTGATCTGAAGACAGAGACTTGAGATATAATTGATATAAGTACTTTTCATTAGTATAATAACTAATTAGGTTTTTTATAAATAAATATATTTGCATAGATAATGTAATGTTTTTTGTATTAATTATATCTGAATACTAAGTTTCTGGCTACTACCTTGGTTCCTTTTTCATTAATACTCATATTGTTTTATGGATTTAAATACGACCCTGAACATAAAAAGGAAGCAGACCAAACTGCAGGGTCTATATTTTTCACAGTAATACGACATTGTTTATCGTCTATTATTTGTTAAAAGATGGTTATTGTACTTACAAATACAACCAAGTAGATAATATTACAAGGGAATATTCGGGCAATGGAGGGAACACACCCAAACACAATACTTAACAATATCATAAGCACTCTGCAACAAATTAATTTTTTTAAAATTATTTATTGCTTTTTACATATCGACAAAGATAAAAATTATTATCCACTCCAATTTAGGTTTATTAGGAAATGCATTGAGCAAGTATTTGGAAATTTTATATGTCAGAGACATAGAAATCTAGATTACGACTGACACCTCTATCACACAAAACAAGTTGACTGAACTTATTTTAATTCCTCTTGAAGTCGATATTATATTTATTCATCCCCGGTTCGAGCAAATTAGCCGTACTTTCTACGCGCCAGTTTCGCAAGAAAATAAATTAGAAATGTAGAACAATTATGTAATTTTAAATCCAAGAAAATTAAATTAATAAACGTGTAAAATTTTTATTTTTATTTGGATACAAAGCGGTGTTCGCTAAAGTACTAATCTTGGTTTTATTATTTTTTTCGAATGTAATAACAATTAAATAGAAAAAAATGCGGAAACCGGTTAAAACACGATTTTTCGTCAATTGAAAGGGACTAAGGAAATAACTAGCTTGAGACATCATCATAAGGTCGTCAGTTACAAGACTGGTAACACTTCCACATTTTCCTATCCTGAGCTAATCTTCGCATTTCCTTTAAACTAGCACAACGCATATCGTAAACTATTTGCAAACAGTAATCTAATCTAGGTCTACCTCTACTCCTCCTAACTTCCTACTAATCTATCTCTCCTATTTCTTATTGACCTTCATAGTCCTCTGTTCTCTTACTTTTTCTAATACTTTTCAGTTCTAACTTTCTTCATCCACGGTATCCTCGTCATTCGCCTGTAACGCCACATTTGAAACGCTTTTCTAACCTTTTATTTTCCGCCGCTCCACCGTCCATGTATCGCACCCGTACAGCCCCGCGCTCCAAACATTCACCTTTAACAATATTTTTCGAATTTCTAAATTGACTGTTCGCGGGCATAGAAGTGACTTTTTTTTATTAAAGGCGATTCTACTCTGCACTATCCTCTGCTTTATATCCCTACTAGTCCTTCCGTTCTGATTTATTTGACTTCCTAAATACCTAAAATCGGCCACTTCTTCTAATTTTTCGTCTCCTATCTTTATATTCGCTCTTTCCCTTCTTCTTCATCCCTTATATACCAGTATTTTTGTTTTACTTTTATTTATTTTCATACAATACTGTCAATGCCATTTTCATTTTACTTAAAACTGAAGCTGGATGCTAACACGACTCTGGCATATTTAGGTAAGGATATTCTCTATACTTACAGGGCTATCCAAAATGGAATTAAGAATACAGATATATATATAGAATGAGTGTGCGAAGCTTCTGCCTCTATTACGGTCCCCCCTTCTATAATAGTACTACTAGTATTTGCTTCTTTGTGTAAATTTGGTCTGTAATAAAAAAGTAGCTCAAATTATTGTAACTATAACGAATTGCGATTTCTTACAAAAAATCGAATAAGGCAACACCCCCTATAGTAACAAGTAGAATAAAAAAGTGAATTATCTGTACTTTACGGATAAATTTATGCCGAGTGGCTTTATCTTGAAAGGGAGTTTCATCCTAAAATATACAAATTATTAATTATAGCTTGTCACAAGGTCTTTAAAAAGTCAAATATGTTTGAATATCGCGGTAGTTTAAAAATATTTACAGTACAGTTATATGAGGTCTGTTCAAATAGAATTTCCGCGGGTTACGTATATTCGATTATCGTTTTTTTTTACGTTTGTTGGTACTCATGTCTCTCACTCATTCCGACAAGTTCAGCCATGTTGAATGTTCAGTTAATTTTTTTCTTATATTTCTGCCTACTCCAAAAAATGGATCAAAGAATCTGTATCAAATTTTGTGTGAAAAACAAAATTAATTGCGCGGACGCATTCCGAATGTTGACTGTGGCTTATAGCGGATCTTGGACCGAAGCAACGTTTATCGGTGGTATGAAATGTTTTTAGAATGCTGAGAAGATATGAACGACGAAGAGCATGCCTGACGCCCGAGCACGTCAACAACAAACGAAAACACTGATGAAGTAAAGAAAATAGTATTGGTCAATCGTCGAATTACCGTTAGAGAAGTTGCTTAGGATCTAAACATATCGATTGGCTCCTGCCATTCGATTTTCACCAATGGTTTGGGGATGAGAAAGGTGGCCGCAAAATTCGTACCAAAATTGCTCAATTTCGACCAAAAACAGCATCGGATTGCTAAGGAGCTGTTGGACTCTCTCCGTGGCGACTCAAATTTGCTCCAGAAGGTCATAAGTGGGTTTATGGTTATGACGTCGAAACTAAAGCTCAATCATCCCATTGGAAGCTGCCGCACGAGCCAAGACCAAAAGAAAACCGCGTCAAGTAATATCACCTTCACCAATTTGGGCAAAGCTATCCAAGAGAAACGCCCGGATTTGTTGAAAAACAAAAATTGGCTTTTGCACCATGATAATGTCCTTGCCCACACATCGTTGCTTGTGCGCGAATTTTTGGCCAAAAACAGCACACTAATAATTCCGTAGGCACGGTGTTCCGCACCCTGTAACTTTTCTTGTTCCCGAAACTGAAGAGGGCCATTAAAGGACGACGCTACGCTATGATTGAGGAGATAATGATGGCATCGATGAGGGAACTGAACAAGATCACAAAAAATGATTTTTTGAAGTACTTCCAGGATTGGAAAACTTTGGCATAAATGTATAATATCTAGTGGGGTTAATTTGACTGAGCCAAAATAGATATTCATGAATAAATAATTTCTGAAAAAACAAAAAATTCGCGATATTTCTTGAACAGACCTCATAAGTACACCACTAAATCTAGGAAAACGCTAGGGCAGGAAAAATTTGAAATGCTTACAATCGCTTACGGCAATCAGTCCTATAATTTTTTTACCGATGTACCTATTTCTTGATCGTTTAGGTTTATAGGAGCATTTTAAAAATCGGATTTACTCGCGAACTAAATTAAAATATATTGAAGAGTTATCTCCAATCTCCCTTAAAATGATGGAACCGGTACAAAGTGTTGGAATGTCCTTCGTATCACAGTAAATAAAAAGTTACCATATTCAATATTGGATTGCAGTACACATTCAGTTGCTGTTGAAATGTTAAATCTTTTGGAGTGGCAATGTATCTATTAAGTAATTGCTTTTCCTCATTCACAGTTTCATTTTCTATGGTAACTGATTGACTGTTTAAATGGGGTGATTCCGTAGGCAATTTGTTATCCTTGATTACTGATTGTAATGCCAAGAAATTATTTAAATTTGGTTGTTCTTTTATTTGAAGTTCTTCAATTGTCTCATAATCTGGTGTGACTGTCGGAAAATCAACTGCTTTGTGGTGACTTTGACTCATGTCTCTATGTACTTCATTGTGATGACTTATTTGAGACTTTTCCCTTAAATCTTGTGATTCTTTCTCAAAACTAATAGGTATATTGTCAAGGTTGTTAAGATCGCAACTATGATTTTCTGATTTCAAATTATCTCTTGTTTCTTCGGTTTCCTGTTCATCTTCACATTCAGAACAACATTGTCTCTCATCCATATTGTCTTTAGTTTAACTATAAATATATGTGACATTTGTTAAATTTGTTCATTGTGTGTATAAAATAACAAATAGGAGTTCAAAGGCTACATTGATATTTTAAGATAGCATATTTGACTATTTCATAGAGAATTTAATAAATACAAGGTGTTTCTGAAATAAGTAGAGAGCTTTGGAGGGTATTAATCAGATGCAATAGCGAATTGCAGGGTGAGTAAAAAATGAATTGGCAACGTACAGAGAAATTGTGATGTAAACAGTGACGGTTGTGTTGTGTAAAGTAAATGTCAGCAGCTTACTACTACGCTAAAGCACATAATAATATTTAGGTGCCCATTGTGACAATTACTTTGTTCATCACTAAAAGTATGCAGTACTCTTTCAAGTACATCTCGACATGGTATTAGGAACATTAACAAAAATTAACGTTACGTAAACATTAAACTCCTCTGGATAGCAAATCGTAATTTTATTAAATTTCCAATCGACGAGTGAGGTAATGCCAAAATGCGTTGCCTTTATGAATGTTTCGCCAATAGCCCTATTCTTTCATTAGAAGAAAATCATTAAAACACAAAAACACATACTCATTTTTGAGTCGCGCTAAGACAACCGACATTTGACGTGTTTCATTTGCAGCAATCATACACGGTCGTCGAAATCATTAACATTTATCAGTGGTGTTTGATGCAAGCGTTGTTTCATACAAAGAAGTCAAGCGAATGTAGACGAGGACTACGTGTCCGCCAAGGTACAGGATCCGTAAGTCCAGTCTAACGCACTAACACACTGCCAATGACTTTGACTAATTACATGCATATAAAGTTGCATCGTTAAAAGAACAACGAATTACCCTAGACTAAGTGTAACATAAACAGCGTTAATAATACTTAATCTAATATAACAAATAACAAACAATGCATGAGAGCAAAACAAACAGGTCCTGTATTTTCAAATACGTCAAAACTTTTGGACAACCAAACATTTCCTTCTAAATAGGAGTCGTTATTTGCCGGTGACTCGGTTTAAAATTAAAATCAGATTTTCATTTTTGCTTTTTCTGATGTCTATTTTGGATATTGAGCTTTTCAAACCTTCAGCGGTTAAAGATGTTTGCAGATTGTTGTACTGCCTTAACAAAGCAATGTGTACATGAAANAGATCCATACGGAACTGGTGCAAAAAAAAAATGGTTGCTACTAGAACTGTAACATTAAAATGTAAAAAAGACGACATAATCTGAACAGGCGGCTGATTCAGGACGATTATCCTTCCTCCAGAAAAGTATAGCCTCTGCAGGAACCCAATGCGGCTTTCTGGAGAATGAAATAGAGCCTGAAGAAAGGCCTTCAGAAGAAATATTCGTTGATTCAGATTCAGACCGTCTGCCAAAACGAAGAAAAACTTAGTAAAGAGACTTAATAAATTTCATCAAAACTCCTCCGCAAATCTCCCAACCACAGCAGGTGAATATCAATCCCGATCGGGCATTTTTGAAAGCTTGTGTTTCACTTTTCACCGAAGAGCAGAAGTTGGAATTTTGTTGCGAGGTGTTGAGCACCATTAAAAGAGTTAGATTGGGTGCTGTACCAACGCCACCTCCTTATGAGCAATATCAATATCACCATCCTCCCATCCCGACGTTTTTATCCCAAACACCTATTTATCACCATCAGCCGACTTTTCAGACGCCATCGGTACAACCAGAAATGCAAGCGCGGCCATCATTACCTGCAACTCAACCCTCTCCAGCACTTTCTTCCACTTTGGAGTTTCAAACTGAGCCTGATGAAGACTATGACATTTGTATAAATTGATTTTTTGTGATAGTTTTATTTTTACGTTTACATTTATATATGCAAGCCATAATCGGTATATGGGTGTACCCAAAATCGTCTCATATATATGTTAGCGGAGGGTGGAATTTATGTTGGCGAAGGGTGGAATTTCCCTGTTCGCATAGACGCAAGATACATTTGTGCAACAGGCACTTATCCTGCACCCTGCAGGAGCAATGTGGGATAGTCGGTCGTAGAAGTAGGGATGTAAAAACTTGTATCTACTAAGTGTAAACGGAATAGAAATAATTGTTAAAATTAAGTGTTGTTATTAGTTAATAGTTAGTGGTCTTAAAATCAACAACAATAGTATCTTTACATACATAGTAATAATAATAATACAGTATATATGCGCTAGGCCCTAACTATATTCAGATATAGTTTATTTGTTGAAACTACTATAAGTATAAATAGTTGTGTAGATTAGCATCATTAGAGCCCACACCTGACGTAGTCTTTAAACGCTTTACTAATTTTGATCTGAAGACAGAGACTTGAGATATAATTGATATAAGTACTTTTCATTAGTATAATAACTAATTAGGTTTTTTATTATCATCATAAGGTCATCAGTCCTAAGACTGGTTGGACACGTACCTCAACTCTTTCCTATCCTGAGCTAAACTTCGCATTTCCCTAAAACTAGAACAGCTCACATCCTTAACTATTTGCGGAGAGTAATCTAATCTAGGTCTACCTCTACCCCTCGTAACTCCTGTTTCTGCCTCTAATATGTCTCCTACCAATCTGTCTCGCCTATTTTTTATTGTCTTCCGTTGAGTCCTCTGTTCCCCTATTCTTTCCAATACCTGCTCATTTGTAACCTTTTCTACCCACGATATCCTCATCATCCGCCTATAACACCACATTTCGAACACTTCTAACCTTTTCTTTTCCGCC